CAGAATCCCTTTGTGTTCATTTCTAAAGCCGCATCAAGACGTACATCAATTTATTTAAGACGCTGCGCTACTTGCAAGTCTCTGTGATCTGTTAGATTGTCAATAAATTTAGAAAAAAGCTAACTCATTTGACGTTTCATGGTATTTGCATGTCGCTAAATACCCAACTGAGATCGGCTCATGCCGTTCTGAAAAAGGATCCGACCACCGCAAACTACCAACGACCACCGCAAACTTAAAAAAGCGGAAAAATCACAGCAAGCAGAGAAAAAGAGAAAATAAATGCAGAGAGGAGGACTTTGAGGTGGAAGGAGGGAAACGGGTGACGGACAATTTAATGCGAGAGAGCATGATGCTCAGTAGGAAGGAGACTGGAGTGCATATTCATGCTGAAATGAATGTTGAACAGGGGGAGTGTGGACAGGACCAGCCAGCCAAAGCGAAATACAGGAAAGAGAAGAAGAAAATCAAAATGAGAGCAGACACGAGGTCAGAGGAGGAGAAGCTGTGGGATGACTCCATTCTAGGATGTTGAACTAATAAACTGTTGAGCAAAAGCATTAAGGTATTGTGAGCAGGACGTGTTAAATACCATAAGCTGTCTATTTTGAGAATATTCTTGACAGCCGTCAAGGAAGCAGTTTTTATTATCGCTCTGACAGCCAAACGAGTTGTCTGTGGGTGTGCTAGCTGGCTAGCCACGTTGAGTCAATTTGTGCTTTTTAAGAATGAATGATTGGTTTCTCATACATAACCACAGCTTTAATATCTTTATTTTCCACTAAGACACTTCATAATGTATTTGATTTAATTAATGTTCACATATGTATTCATTGTTTGCTGTGATAAATAAGAATCCGATTTTTCCTGCCTATCATTTGAAATGATCACTAAGTACACTTGACTTACCAATTCATCAATATGCTTCTGTGCTTGTGGCGTTTAGCAGCCTGAGGTGGGCACTGTCGAGCTTCATTCAGAGCATCAGTACCGCCAATAAAAGCCCACAGATGTTAGAGACTTACTCAGCTCACTTCCTTTGAAACTTGTGCTCTCAGAGGAACACAGACGTTTTAAAGACGGCTGTCAGAGGACACCGCAGACAGCCGAGACAAGTGCAGCACGTTGTGGATCAAATTGAATCGGTTGATTATTGAAAGATCTCTGCAGCACATCAAGACTGTTTTGATGAGACATTGCCCTAGTCTACAGCGCACGTGTTATAGATGCACTTGCACATCAAAATTGGTGTTTGGGGTCAGACAGGTGCAAAAGTTAAAATGAGGACATCTCTTGACAACATTGGTTTACGTGTGTGATCTGTGATGAAACAAAGGAAGTTTATGCCACTTAAAGACAACTGAAAAAAAAAGGTAACGTCAAGTTGTAAACCATCCTTTGTCTTGTAAGGATACACTTGAACTACTTTTTTGTTTTAAATAGGCCAACAGAGGGTTTGACCTTTTTTGGCAACACACCAATTTCATCAAAGAACTAGTTAGTGGTTTTTGTTTCTATTTGACTATCAGCTGGGTGGTTTGTGGACCACACATGCATCAGTACATTTTTCTGTCTTAGGCAGCTTTATGAATTATGACAGTGAGCTGGTTTGGTTAAAAACTAGATTTGTAGCAGACTGTATTCGTTACTCGATAGACAACAGACTGAACTGGTGGTCTGATAGTCACACACTACTGCAATGGCAACCTGCCATAAAAAACCCAGCCTGCAGGTTAAACATCCCCAAAACACACACTTACATATATCCCACATGAGTTGATTTAGTCTTCTACAAAGGTCCTACAGAAATGAAGAGCTTCATGAGAGAGCTCACAACTTTAATAGTATTTGCTTATTGGTGCCAAACAAACTTCTAAATCTATGACAAATGCATGAAATGCACCACAATTGCCTCGTCTGAAAACATATAACTGGAGCAGTGGAGTAAAGAAACGAAAGCTGCTCTTGACTCAAAGCGTCGGAGCAGAAGGACCCACAAAGGCCTCACAGCTCAGCGATGTGCTCCGAGCGCCTCTGAAGCCCCCTGAGATCTCCTGTTTTCAAAGAATCCTGCGGTCTCGTTCCCTCTCGCGCTTCAGTCTTCGACCCCCGTAGTGCCGTACGGTGCCCACATCCTCACTCTTTAAGACCCCCGCCAGACCATTCTGCACCCTAACCCCTCGTTCTCACACAGGTACAATACACAAACCACACTCAGATGATTGCAGCAGGTTTATCGAGCATAATTAGACATTTGTCATTCCTGATTTTGGAAAGGCTGGCCCCAAATGAAATATGTCAATTAATGGGGCATGTTTCTTTTAATGTGGTTAAGAAGATGCTTCAAGAAAATCTATCTTCTGATTCTCTTTAACGCTTAAAGGTGTACGTCGGTAAGTCATGGTTGCTCAGAAATGGCCATCTCACTTGTGAGGGAAGTTATGTATCTTAATCTGATGCAATTCAATCATATTTACCTCAGTGTCAAGAATATCCACACAAAACGATTCATTTTGAAATTCAGCACTAAAACTAATTGACAAGACGTCTTTTACTGTTTTGCCAAGCCTTGGTTACTCAGCGTTTTGGAAATTTAAAGATCTGCTGTCTTTCTTTCGTACATTGATTAATCAATCAAGAATGAAAACAATGTGTTCACATTGTTTTTTTGCAACAATTTAAATACATCATCTAATAATCTAAAATTACAATGAGTATTTTCATCTTTTTTTGGCATTTTATAGCCTGAAGGATTAATCAATTCCTCAAGTCGTTGAATTATTTTGTGACTGAACTAATGGATGTCGTTGTCAAAAGGGAACCTTTGATGTCCTCTCATGTGCCTGGAAGTGGCCGATGAAACTGGACCTCAGCCCGTCGCACCTGCACGTTCACTAAGGGTAGAATGAACTGATCTCGATTTGTGCAGAAAAAGATCTTTAATGTCATTAGGAAAAAATGTCATGTTTCCATTTGATATTTTGATATCACAAAAAAGAAATGAGTTGGATGTAGTTTATTAGCAACTGGCTAAGATTCTATGGGCAGCATCTTTAAAATACAGGTTGAACTCAGAAAGGTCACAGTAAATATAAGAAAACTTTTCATTTGTTTAATTAACTGAAAAACATTCTGTCGTCTAAGGACATTGTTTTACTATCCAACGATTTCACTACAAAATGTCGTGCTCTGTAGATGTGTGTCGTGATGCGTTTTACACCCCGTTCTCTCTACAGAGAAGTGAGTAATAAGAAGGAATAGAAAAAGCTGTTCACAGACACCAGTGAATATTATTTAGCAATAATCCCACGGAATGGTGGATCAGGTTCTGTATTGCCGATCCTTTGCTTGCAGTACCTGTAGTTTAGGCCGTGCTCACTGATATTCCCTCGCCGTGCTCTGCAGGGAGGCATGAAGCTGCACATGTGGCTCCGCTGAGCTCTAGGTCACACACCTGGGAAGAGACCACAGCTCTGCAAACTGCAGCTCTGTGAATATACTACTTGTTTTATTGTTTGATTTGTTGTCATGTCAGCTCTGATGAAACATTCAGTTGCGTGTCATGATGACTGTATGTCATGTATTCAACCTGCACCCTTTTAACAGCAAGTAATGAAAACATTATTATTATTTGTTGGTTAAGTACTTTTTAAGTTGACAGTCAAGTATTATTTACGGTACCATTGTCCCAGTTTTCTCTCATGTGTTTGTCACATTTCAAATGAAGTATTCTCTCCCAGTGGTGTGTGTGTGTGTGTGTGTGCGTCTGAGTGTGTGCGTGCGCACCTTCTCTGCTGCATGTTCCTCTCTGATAGGCCCCGTGTGTGTCACACTGGGGTGTTACCATGACGACTCAGGACCCTGCCAGCTCAGTTCCTCCCATCACCTCTGACAGATAAAGATCAGGAAAAGAAAGTATCCGCAGAGTCCCTCAGCTGCCTTTCAAGATACGCAGACACGTACACATATCGGTGACCAGAGAAAAATGTCCGCGCTGCCTTTAGCGTGGACGCTGCTGACTGTGTCGCTGACATCAGGTAAGACCTCCAAGGTTCTCTGCTGATTCGTAAGCGACGGCCGTTCTTTCGCAACTTTGTCAGTGGCCAGCATCCAGGGATGTGTTGTTGTCTACTCAACCAGAAGCCTGTGTGTGAGTTATTTAAATTGTATCTCAGTATTGTACTGCTACAGCTCATTAATTCTGTTATTTATTTATTAATTTCATTAATGTAATGTGTCAAATCTGGTACAATCAATTATGAGGGCGCCTGTTCCCCACCTGTTACATACATATACACGCCGTCGTAATCAGCGGTATGTTTCTGTCAACTTTATATTTACTTTCATTTTTATATATGGCTTGATCAAAGCATTCACTTCATTTTTATTTGTACTGTGTACGGTGACTCATTGGATAGAGATAAAATGAATTCTGTGTAATCTCAAATGTTACGCAATTTGTGCAGTTTGTGCATTTGGGTAAAATGATCATCCAAATGAGTTGAGTCCCAGTGAGATTTAACCTTTCGCATAGTGGAAGCCTTTAGATTTCTACTCGTCTTTAGTCGTTCCATAAGACTAGCGATTGCAACAGGTATGTGCCTACACACCTTTCTAAAAATGAAATGGCTCTACCAATGAACTTGAACATTGCATAAATGTCAAATCGCTTGCTTGTGAACAACAAGTTTCTTCATAGTTGGAGTTCCTTTCCATTCTTGCGAAACGTTGGGTTACAGTTGTAGGTTTTGTACCATATTACCAACTTGTATGTGCTTCTATGTGCTTTTACTCGTCACAATTATTCTTTATTTTGTAAAATTGGAAACACATGCACTGTTACACAAAGCTTTTCTTTAAACGGTTCTTACACCAATTAATGGACAAGTCCTGACACAAAGTCACCTTTTCCAGACACACACACAATCATTGGGAGTTTGTGTGTTTGTCAAATGTACCACAACCGCGTGTCTCAAACATGCCTTCATGTCATCTCTTAGGTTGGAGCCAGATCCTTCAGCAGGACACGGTGAAGATTCAGTATCCCGTGCTCCACAGTACGGAGGTCATTGAATGTGACTGCGGTAACGTCCTATGTGACAATGTGTACTGGTTCCGCAGCATCCACAACCACGAAAAACTAGAGTTCCTCGGCAGATTCAACAACGCTGGCCGTGGATCTCCAGTGGACGAGGCCCACTTCAAATTAAGCAGGAAGAGCAATACGTGCTTTGCGCTATTCATCATCAACGTGACAGAGGAGGACACAGGGATTTATTCTTGTGTTCTGAAGGACAGGAAAAACACAGAAACATGGAAGTCCGGGATTCTTCTTCGGCCGGGAGGTTTGTGTGCTGAGACCTCAGGCGCTTCGTTTACGGCATTATGGGTTTAAAATCTGGTGCATGATGGCACAAATATGTGTAGTGTTGACTTATTTTTTAACTGAAATAATGATATGCTGAGATGTTCCATGTAGAGTTGATTGTCCATGGCAGTTTAGAGGAACTCTCCACTCCAATTTTTATGATAAACAAAGACGCGAATAAAGGGACTGGTCAGAAATAATCGGTTTCTCTGTTAATCTTTCCTTACAAATTCTTTCAATTTCAACTTTGATTCCTTTTAGTCATAACTTGTCTCTGCCTTACAGTGACCGCTCCAACGCTACCTCCTCACACGAAACCCAAACCCCCAGTGGAGCCAGTGTGCGGCTGCCCTACGAAGGATCCTTCACAGGGTGAGATTTGGGATAAAATCACCTGTGTGTCTTGTATGCTTACACATTTGACTTTGAATGTGGCTTGTGATGAAGAAGCACCTTTGTCTGTGGACGAAGGTTCAAATCTTGTGCGCTGCACCTGATTGCGATGCTGAAAATGCGACTGAGGAGGTCGTTTTATTGTACAGACAATGTGATGCCTGGTTGTGCTGAAAACACGGGGTAACCATCTGATGGCAATTTAGCAAGCTATTCTACATTTAAACAAACCCATGCCCCGCACTCGCTCCAGGCGACTGCGGCTCCCTGGTGCTGTGGCCCTTGGTTGGACTGGTTGCGGCGTTGGCTCTGGCCCTCATCGGCACCCTGTACTACTTCAGCCGTGAGTAGTCGTCCTCCAGTGAATCGGCAGAACACGTTTAAAGAATGTCAAACTAATCCAACCCCTTTAAATTAAAATACTTAAACTTAGTTTGAAATGTATTTTGTTGCTACTCTAATGTGTTTTTTTTTGTTTGTACGCGCTCTCGCTTTCAGGGCTACCCAAAAAATGTCGGCACCACTTTGTGAAGTAAGTAGATTTCCAAATACAGTAAAAGTTGTCTTTTCCTACGTAATCAAAAGTACAATGGTTTGTGGATTCTTCCTGTTGAAGTTTAATCTTTCTTTTGTTTTTCATCATTAAGGAAGAGGTAGTGGATCCTACAGTTCCATATCCACAGCTTATATCTGACTAAAGGTGTGTACCTTACTTGTGTAACTTTATTGATCTACCTACAGTATATCATATTTGCTGTATGTGTGATATCTGTCGTCTTCCAAAATGTTTTCAGGTTGAAGCAACATCCAGTTGTACATCAAGGAGATGAGGATCCCCGAAAAACACCTCTGACCTGTTCATTACCAGCCAGTCGGAAAATGCGTTTATGCTTATTAAGAGCAGTAACCACGTGTAACATATTGTAATATGTTGGCTGCTTTTTGTTAAATAACTTACAAAACGTCTCCAGAGCTCCACTATTAACTTTATTAATATTAGCTATTAACTGTTCTATGTTTTGCCACATTTAGCCGACATCATTTATCTAGATGCTTTTTCAAATAAGCCGGTTTGGGATCTTTCGCATTGGTTTTGAAATAACAATTATTTCATTGGTATTTCTCAAAGCCCAAAGCTAATCCGTTTATTTACATACAGGAATCAAAGAGCCCACTAAACAGCTTAAATCAGATGGATCAGAATTGTCTTTTGACTCTTTTTGGAATCTTTTTGTGTCTGTTTTAAAACTGTCAAGTTCTATTTCAGTAAGAATCGTTCTGTTAAATCAATCATATAACAGAAGAATCAATTGAATAGGGTTGACTCCCTTCTTTTTATTGGCTGCACAAGCTTTTGTATTATCTGTTGTAAACCCATTCCATGTAGAAAATGTATGAATGCAAATGTTTGCAGGCCCAGATTCGTGCCAAAAGGCGCAGTTACCAACGAATGAATAATAACTTGCTCAAGGGCACTTATGCAACAGCGCCATTGACACGGGATACGTGTGTCTCTCCGTTGTGAATTGTGCACAGATGAATAAAAAAGTCCTATTTTTGTAATAGCGTTACGTTTGTATGTGTATGGAAAAGAAGAGAAAGAGGCTTGGGTGCGTATCCATTGTCAATATTCGCTTTGGCGGAAGTTGAGTGACAGGGTTCGCTTTCTTCCTTCACCTTTGATGTGTACACTTGCATCACGTTTAGTTTCCCTTGAATCGCCTCCAGTTTCTGCCATCGGGTTGATTGTGATAATATTAAATTACAAGATGCAAAGTTGTTTTCTAGCAAAGGGTGCACAACTTTCTATCTGTCTCTGTCACACAGACACACGCAGACACACATGCGCGTAAACGAGCAATAGGCCTACACATGCCCACCTGTGCGATTCGAGGGTGTGAAGAAATGACATGAGTTGGTGGTTGTTCGGGTCTCGGGGAGCTCGCGCAACCTTTTCCTGTGAGCTGGAGAGGGAGGAGGAACGCAGCCGTGTTCACTGAGCTGTTATCGCCTTGCTCCGCTTTGAGCTCTTCATCTCGTCTCTGAAACAAAAAGACCACAAAAAGACCACAGACCGAACCACAAGCTCCGACGGAGAGACAGAGAGAGAGGCAGGAGGAGCGTTAGAGCTTTGAAGAGAGCTCAGTAAGAAAAGAAAAACAAAAAAAATACAAGAAAACGTAACTTTTAATTGCAGGCAAACAATATCATGCGCTCATATTACCTGTGCATTTAAATCATGATACATACAATATGTTTTTCAAACCATCTGTGTGTTTTGGGTTCTGCACATTTTTTAGATAAATAAGACACACTGACACGTGTAATTATGTAATTCTTTGAAAAATTGAAGTTGAAATCCCACTTTCTTCGTGTCTATATTAGTGTTTATGTATACTTTAGAGTTTTACTTGTTTAGTTTTTACACGCTTCAAAGCGTATTGGTTACATCCTACTCTGTTCATGACGGCATACTGGTTCCTCTTCAAACTGTAACATATGTCATTGTTTCAGTTTGGTAATACATTTGAAATTGAATTTTGGAATTAATTGGTTACCTAAAACACAATTTTGGATAATCAATTTATATTTTATTATGTGACAATAGACAAGTTACAGGGTAAATGTCAGATTTAACATGAAAAAATGACACAAATGCTAGGTTTTGTAGAAACAGCATAGTGAATATACAGCATGCTGTATATCAGTTTGGTAAAATTCTATTCAATCATATTGATTAAAAAAAAATACACACTGGCAAATTAAGTAAAAAATGAATTCAAATATCTCAATTTTTAAGCTTCTATATTCATATAAATACTAAACACCAGGTGATAAAGTCCTGCAGACAACATATTGGGAAATATATCTGCTCATGTTTTACAGGATCAACCGTCATATATTTGAACATCAACATCAATCAATTTATGAAATAATGAAAGTCACAAAATTCCCAAACAAATATTAATCAGAAAGTCCAATGAGCGTAAAATGATTAATTGATACGCACAAAATAGATGACTGAAAAATAAATGATTATTTTCATTAAATTTAACATTTCCAATATTTGTTACAAAATGTTGCAAGTAACAAAAGGTAAATCTCCATCCATCCATCCATCCATTGTCAAACCGCTTATCCTGCACACAGGGTCGCGGGGGGGCTGGAGTCCATCTCAGCCAACTTCGGGCGATACAAAAGGTAAATCTAAATCCCAAAAATATTTTTGGAAACCTACATAATGTAATCCTTACAGCAAGTCTTAGTAACAGAAGAATCTATTTACAGAGATTCAATTTTCCATTTCCGACTCTCCATTTCTACTTACTCCTCTCCTCTTTCTCGCAACGCAACTCTGCTGGATACTGTATTTCTCACTGGCTTCCCCTGGTCACACACACACACACACACACACACACACACACACAGGCTGAAGTAGGTTTCAGGTTGGAGACCCCTGTATGAGTAAGATAGGGAAGCCCGTGCAGGTGTGTTTGTGAGTGACTCAAACCTGAAACAGAGTAATGGAAAGGTGAAGTGGGCTAACTGAGAGCGCTTTGACTGGGTCTTCCCCGTAACAAAAAGCATCAACAGAATCCCCTAATTACTGAAAACCCTACACAAACCTGCTTTCCATGGGGGTTTCATTTAAAGCGATGTCAAAGTAATTTGTGAAGAAGACAAATAGACTCTAAAATGTAAATGTAAATATGTAAATATTGGGATGAGGTAAATAACACGCTGTACAGCACAGGTTCAATGTGAGGGCCCCTCTCCCTCCGTGTTTCTGTCTTTCCGTTCCTCTCCGCCCACCTCTGGAACAGATCAATGGCCCACAAAAGAGCAAAATGTCAGCACTTGTTGCCCATTACTAAATCGGTTCATTTACTTTCCATCACTGAGCAGGAAATAAGACGGGCCTTGGGTTGCGCCACAGCCGCTGTAGCAGTCTCATTTCGTCTGAAGAGAGTTTCACTTCCCTATCAGACGAGCCTTCACATGACGTGACAGATGACGTGGGGCCTAATTGCTGCTAGGATGGAAGCCGTGTCCTTTGTTGTTAATGGAAGAAGATTTGACTAGTTTTACAAAGCTCTGTGCACTCTGAAGCATTCAAAGGTTTAAACGTTTACAGTGATCTGTAAAAACTAAGTCAAACCAGGTAATATCTCTCTAAGCTCTTAACCTGTTTTTGGCCTCTGCTCCGAAAATGGCCTACCCGTGATAAAAAGTGTAATAACTCTGCAACTACTTTGTCTATCTGGACAATTAATTTTCTGTGAGTGTTCTGATGTGTAAAAGTAAATCAATACAGCACACAGAACTGCAAAGTGCAAAAATCACTTGTTTCCATGAACTCATTGTTTCATTCACTACTCAAAGCTCATGAGTCGTGACCAAAGGTCAGTTTGTGTATGGATTACGAAATCTAGAGCTCGACCTTTAGCTCTGCTCCGTCTTCACGGCGACGGTTCGGTACAACAGCGGCATCACCCCCGACCTTGCAATGAACCACCATGTACACTCAATTTCAACCTCACTTTTGAACGAAACCCTTAACAAACTATTTATTAAATAAAAAGCAGACTCTCTTGACGCTATACTCTTTATTATACGTTTTTGTGACAAACTTTACTATGACGTTTTCAAAGTACTATATATTATTTATTACTTCAACGTACTCGTACTGTTTAAATTTGTCAAAATTCTATATTACAATTTAACAAAAATTACTTTAAGCAAAAATTTAAAAAATCAATAAATAGATTACTGTATAATGAGCAAAAGAAATATGTATGACAAATAAGTCATATAGTTTAATATAGTTTATTATAGTTTAATATGGTTTATATCAACTAAAGTAACACAAATATATGGTGAAGCATAACAAAAAGTCATAATACAGTTTTCCAAAAAGAAATCCTAAAAAGCCATAATATAATAGTTTTATAAAAGCACCAACATAGAATGCCAAAATAAGTTTGAAAAAATGTATATGTATATGTATAGTTTGTTCAAAAAGTCATTACAACCATTACATGTTGGTGAGGGTCATAAAACAGAGTAATAGAACAGCATGCTGTTAAAAGCACAATATGGTGTTGCAGAAAAAATAAAGAATATTATGTTACAAAATGCCAGCAGGTATAAAAACAAATCATGAAAAATTGATTTTTGAATAAAGGTCTCAATGCAGTATTTCAAGAATAAAATCTAATAAATGAATTAGAGCCAAAACGGTTTAGACGTAAAACGTAAAAAGTGTAGTATGTTGAATAAAGTTTACAGATTAAGTCATGCATTAAGAAAAAAGCCATAGAAAGACGGGAAAAGCTCCTGAAGAACATAGTGAAACACAAGCAAGAACTTCTACATTTTGATGCTTGGATTGAAGTTTTGCTGCTCGATGCTTGAAACCAGAGGCGGAGGTGAGAGGTGCAGATCGGTGGGCTCAACTTCAAACATCCTGTAGACCACCACCGCGCTTGCAGGAGGTCTCTGCAACGCTCCACTGCAATGATCCCATTTGACACAGCAGAGAAGAAGCCGACAGCTGGGGCGTGGTTTGATATCTCGCTGAATTATCACCTAGCAGGCTCCAACAAAGACCACAAAGACCCGTTTCGCAGCTGTTAATATCTACGACGATGAAAATGAACCAAAAGTGGATTTTGGTGATTCTGGTGTTTTGTCCAAGTAAGTTTAATCTGAATTCTGAAATCTATTAATTACTTTATAGCAGCTTCAAAGTGGATTTGGGTCCTTTATAACTGCTGCCGTTTCATCACATCTTTTAGACACGACTTCAGGAGCTGCTGCAGAAAAGATGGTGAAGGAAGGAGAGCTGGTTGACATCAAGTGTAAGCCTGCTCAGTCGGGCAGCCTGCTCATCTGGTTCAGAGTTCTTCCCAAGAACATGGAATTCATTGGATCTTTCAGCCCAAGTGGTTTGCCAAAGTCACCCACAGCTTCCCTCGACTCCAGTTATGGTTTCTCAAAAATTAGTAACGGTATCTTAAGTCTAAAGAAATTCAAGAAAAGCACCGACAGCGGCATTTACAGCTGTGCGTTTCTCAAAGGGACTCAACTGATGTTCGGCGATGTAACCCGACTGGTTGGAGGTGAGTTTTGTTTCCTTTATTTGGTCTAATGATTCTATGGATGTTTTTTTTAGTGTCACTTTCCATCATTTCGTTTTTCTCAGAAAAGGAAACAACAGAAGTTGCAATATCAAATGCCATCACCAGTGTGCCAAATCAATGCACAACCGACACCCCATGCGTTTGTGAGCAGAATGGGAATGACAAGCAAGGTAAACGCTCGCTCTCACTATTGAGTCCTCCTCACCTTCATGTGTATGTGGCTGTGAGCAGGACCAGTCGGTAAATGAACACTTACTGTGCAGGGGAAACCAGTCCTCAAATGTATTGTTCTCCAATCATACTGGGCCCACTGGCCGGCGCCTGTGGCCTTCTTCTTCTACTCCTCATCATCACCACCCTGTACTGCAATCGTAAGTTCTCCTGACGTCCTACACCACATTTAATACGCAGTCAATATATGTCCTGGGAAAGGGGACATTTGTTTTGGCTTTGTCTCTGTTTCTTACAGGATTTTGCTGTAATGTGCGTAATGAATTGAGGCTAATCACACTTTTTGTTTGTTTGTTGTAGGAATGAGAACGCGGAGATGCCCACATCATTACAAAAGAAAGTAAGTGATTTATTGTTATTCCAACATAGGAATCATAAGGCTCGACAGAATTTTAGGAATACTGAGGTCATTAGTCCAAGTTCCCCCGAGCACAGAAACCAAAATGAAAATGTGAATAAATTCTGATTTATTATTTATTAATTGTTCGCATTATTTAAAGGGATTTACTCTGAAAATAACTAATTTTTTCATACACGTAAGCAACTCAACTCCTGACTCACTATCAGATCTTTGTCTCAACTCTTCCCGTCTTTAGTACGAAACTACATCGTCCTTTCAGAAGAAACGTTGATTTCTTCACATAACACATTTCTTTATAAATGGTTATTTATTTTCATAACTCATATTATTTTTTGAAACCCTACTTTTCTCTTATAGACAGCAGGCGGTGCCTCCTGGAAAGAAAATGATGACCAGCAGACACGTTTAACTTCGGGGTGTAATTTAATTCCTTCAAACAGTCATTATTTTACTATGTTGTGTGGCTGTTGCAGAGGATTTTATTCCTATTTACAATTTAATGACAATGGTGAATATTTAGCCGCCAACTAAAAAGTTCTGATTGTAACAGGAACTATAAAAAGATGCTACTTTAAGGATTTAATGTTTCAAATACTTTGGGTTTTCACTGCATTGTGGCACGACGCACAATTACGCTGCACCATCACACCCTTGATTAAACTCTTTTAATAAAATAACATTAAATGAAACCTCTAATTCTATAAATGTTGATTGTAATATGAACTACTGAAGTTCTGAGAGTATTAGAAGCGCGAAAATTGTTTGAAATTGATCATGTTACGTTAGCTTTGCTTTTGTAATTAGCCAAAGCGTCTAAATGTTGACATTTTCCAGTATACTTTAATATTGTTTTCCTGTGCAGTGTTTTAGTTAGCTACTTTAACATTTTCAAAATATAATTTCATATGTCTTTTGCCTTGGGAAAAATAAAAAAATAAAAAAATTTGCTCACATAGATGACTTTCTTTGAATGGGTGTATTTCTTTTAATTTATAATCAAGCATTCGGTTAGTAATTATTCCAGTTTATTTTTATATAATATTGAATTGGATGTACAGTATTTAAAAATGTTCCCTTTGTCACGGTGTTCCTTTATTTGTAAAAAAACAAAAAAAGAAGAAAATGTTTCAATGCACTATTAATTGCACGTGTGTGTTTATGCATTTTACTGATTTTTATCAGTGATTAAGGGTCTTTGCACAAAAACAATACGTTTTATATAACGTTTATATTTCCTGTAGAACTTACGCACGATTAGAAAGGAAGTGGGCTGCTACAGCTGTATGTAGAGTGAAAAACTAGAATTAGAAAAACAGAATTAGAGAAAGTTGTCAAAGGACATGCTCCCGTTCAATTTATTAGTCACATAATTCACACTTCGCTTAACCCTTTTGAATAACGGTCTTTATTAATTTTGCAGCCTTTTTCCAAATAGTTAAGGCGGTTTGCGTAAACCTTTGTTCACCATCGTAGGCACAAATTGTAGAAACCAGACTCTTGCTATAGCAACCACACCGTTCATTTTTAAAATCTTTATTTAATTAGTATCCCTGCATCTAAAATACCTCTCAGATTTCATGACTCACACCCACGCAACACCTTTGACATTAAAAAAAAAAAAACTTGGGGACAGTATATTGATTTTTGGCTTTACAGTTGAAAGCCCTTTGTAAGTTACACAGTGTTGTCTTGTATAGAACCAAAGTATTTTCTGTTCTATACAGTACACAAACAAGAGCAGTGAACAAAGCTTGTAACCACCTCAGTCGACTAAGTGCACTTCTAGACACCAGCACACAAAAGACTAACAAGTATTCTACACTGTTTGCCAAAAGTTCCCGAACACAAAATTAAGCGGTACACCTTGTGGAAATCCTCCAAACATTTAATTGTGTAAACTCTATTTTTTCCAAAATACAAGCAAAGTAAGCTGTACACTAGTGTCTTAATGGCATTTGACCACATCATGATAGAAAACTTGGCTTCTCTGCGAACATCTAGATTGCACAAACATCCCGATACTATACACCCACTTTTACTGCTTACATGAAAGCTGACGGTTACCGCTGCTCCCACCAACGTCACGCCGCCGCCAGCCTTAGAAAGGCAGCACGTTGTGTTATTGTGTCACAGGAAAAACTCATCTGAGATGTACACGCAGGACTATGAAGAGCAGCCCCTCCCCTCCGCTCGGCATCCTCAAAACACGAGCCAACAAACAAACTTACCCTCTCACCTTCGTCTCCCCCCTTTTCACTCATTCTCCACCTTCTTTTTAATTTTTTAAATTTTATTTTCTCCATAGACTGAAACCAAAACCTTTTCATCCAATACATGTGAAACCGAGCTAAAAAGAAAAAAAAGGCACCGCATGCAGATGCAGGTGTCTGTGTGTTACGGGCTTGACTAGCTTGTGACAATTTCTAAAAACAAAACAAAAATAGAATCATTATCCAGAAAGCAGCTCCGTCGGTGCAGCATTCCTGTGGTCGGGAGGACAAAGTGCGCTGACAACCTGCAACACATTGAGAAGTCAGTGGAAAGCCGTTTATCCATACCGCCTTGAGCAGCCTTTAAAACCAGGGGAAAAGATGGGAACAAACATCACCAGAGGGTCTAGCTCCTGCCTCCCTTCTTTGTAGATTTTGGCACAACATCTGAGCTCGGCCGAGCTGGTAGCGGCTCAGCGGCAGATGGATCCTCTGCGTGGGATTTCTGAAACACGTGAATGAAGTAAAGAAAATGTCTAGAAAAGGGAGAAGCGGCACGGAATACTGTTACCGATTTATTGTAATTACTCGGGGGAATCAGCAAAGGCCAAAGCTTGTGGAGGCACAACATGCAGCCCCGTGCAGGCTCCTCCGATATAGAGATTTGTTTTTACTTTGATTTGATTACAAGTGCAACGATTATCCGTTGTGATTATCCATTGTCGTGCATTTCCAACAGAATTATTGTCTTCATGCAGCAGGCAATTTTCTTACTTTAGACTTTGACTTGCTCTTGCCCTGTAACAAAGTTGACACCTTGATTAGGCTCAACAACTCCTCACTGCTCCATGAGGAAGAGGCGCGGATACATAGGTTCTAGTGAACCACCTGTAGAGGGCGCCGTTGACAATAAAAACTAAAAGTGTATGATATTAATTACAAACTGCCAAAAGTCACGAGCTCATTTTTTCCCCACAAGATTTCAAGCGTGTCATTTACATTTGGTTCTGCAGTTTTTTTTGAAGACCATTTTTATTGATTTTTTTCAGCGCATAAAACAGGAGAGGCGTTGATATGAGAGGGGATGATATGCAACAAAGAGGCGCATAAGTATTGTCATCCGATGGAGTAAACTTACGTCCTCTGTATATATCAAAGATCAATTTACCTTCGGTTTGTCTGACTTCGATTTGAACTCGGGGGAGTTCGGGAGGAGGGTGTCAGACAGGGAGTCAAGGACGGGACCAGACATCGGCTACGAAAGAATAATAGATACATGACAAATGAACAAACATATTCAGCTCATAATGCTGTCATGTACTTTACGGTACAATTGTTCAAGTAAGAATCTGAGACATTTCAGCATAAATACAAGAAACAATCTGAAGATAACAATTTTGCAGGACTCCGTAGATGACTGTTCTATTATTCCCACTTGTCTTCCGTAGCGAAAGAAAAGGTGGGACTAAAATATTAACTGTGGCTCACAAAGCGTGAGGCAGAAATCCATTCCAGCAAGTCAGCAAGGACATAACTCGTCTCACCTAAATTAAATGTGACCAATATTAGTTTCATCCACGGTATTATCACTATGGCCTGTTGAAATGTGTTGCAGTTCATTGCATCTTTGCTACCTTCAAGGGCTGTGAGTCCAGCACAGGAGATTCCAGCTTTGTTGTGACAGCAGATGATGCAGGCGGTGCAGATGATGCAGCGGGCTTGGGTGCAGCAGCGGATGCAGGCGGTGCAGATGATGCAGCGGGCTTGGGTGCAGCAGCGGATGCAGGCGGTGCAGATGAGGCAGGCGGTGCAGATGATGCAGCGGGCTTGGGAGCAGCAGAGAAGTCAGTGGACAGCAGGTCCAAGGCTGTTTTATCATCCATAGTCTTCTATGGAAAGACAGAAAACAAACATTTGCATGTTGAATATGGACAGCGTGTGTCTATCATTTTATAGTGCTTGATGGCCTCCTGTCATATTCTGGTAGTGTTCGTGCATTTTTACCTTCTTGGGTGCTGCAGCTGCTTTTGCCTTGGCTTCTGCCGCTTTCTTTAAAATTAAAATTGATGAACATTAGACACAGTAAAATGATTAAACATGTCTTTTGACTTCACACCGACAACCTCACAGTATCTTTTGCCCTGGATTAAAAAGTCAGTTACGCAGCAAGGTCTCATTCACGTTTTTTTTTTTTTTTTACTTTAAAACTAAAATATTACAGCAATTGTATTCTTACAACTATTAGCAGCTGCTTATCAAACTTCAAATTGTAAATTAACAAGGCAGGCTAGCAGATGTTTACGGTTCTACTTGGAGGGAAAGTCAGGGGGAGCCCAACTTTATAAGGATTGTCTGCAAAACGTGTTTGTACAAAACGTCTTGACAAACCATCACCATCAGTCTCTGTAGCCATTTCTATCAAGAACCAAGTGGATGCACCATCGTAGTCAGTAATATTGTTTATCCGTTTAAGAATGAATTTCCAACGATCGACCCGGTGTCCGAAAGAGTTAGAAGAGTTGTGTTACCTTACGGTCTTCCTCGGTGGGTCGATACTCTGGTGGCAGTGAGTCATCTCTCTCCCCGCTTTTAATAAGCCTCTCTTCAACGACTTCCTTCTCCTGCAAAAACAATACCAATCGGGACAGTTTAGGTGACCCTTTTTTCCTGAGCGCAGATTTAAAATGTTCTCTGTGGTACCAGGCTATTCCCTAGGTGAGACCTGGCTACCTTGACAATGTCTTTGGTGGGAGGTGGTGTGGGCTGAGGGGCGGGGGCAATATCCTCCAAGGTGTTGGACAGGGCATCCAGGGCATCCAGGGGACTGCCTGCTCCAGCGTGCAGCTGAGTGCACACGCACAGGGAAGAAAGATACTGACTAAACTGCAGGGTTTTAGGGAATCTAAAAAAGTTCAAATTATTCTTGTGCATTTATACCTCAGGTGCAGTTTGTGTGGGAGCACACGGATTGGACTTCACTGTCGGTGCGGCAGAGGACGAAACAAATTCTGCTGCCAAGGCATTCAGAGTGAAGTCTGCAGAGGGCTGCGGGAGTGACAAAGCGGATTAAATCATTTTTAAATCTATAGTAACCTCTCAATAGAAAAAAAAGTGTTTGTGCATCACATGGATTTTTCAATGGATGCAGTAAACCGGGCCTGATCCACAGTGTACCTGTGCAGGAGGCGCTGAGGAGTTGGGGACAGAACACTTGACAGCAGGAGCCGACGACGGCATCGTGAAATCTCCAGACAAAAAGTCCAGAGCTTCACCAGTATCGATGGAGGGCTGCAGGAGGAGAGGAGGATGAAGAGAAGATATGAAGAAAATGCTGAAGATGGAACTTTATTACTCAATATAAATTTAAATAAGACAATAACATATAAGCTGGGACATTTAAGCTGTGTGAAAAAGCAGCTCCTGCTCTCACCACACGTTCTGGAGCAGGCAGGTTCTTTAGTTCATCCTTATTAAACCTGTATTTTGGGGGAAGTGTGTCCTCCCTCTCTCCTACGAGGACACCCTTTTCCTTCTTGTGTTTTCCCTCCTATAAAAAAGGAAATGAGGAGGGAATGAGCGACTTTCTGGTGTAGTTACTGAATATAGAGGCTGAATCAAAGGCTGTGAGGACAAGACGGTGTGTCTGCCTCTGCTCCTACCGAGACGATGTCTTCAGGTCGGAGTTTGGGGAGTTCAGGTTTCGGCATGTCTTCTGGCAACGTGTCAACAAGAGCACTGAGAGCATCCAGAGACATGGAGTCACCCTGAGGGGACAAAGTTCAAAAATGTTTAATCTGTCACATATTGTTTTACTTCATTCATAGGAATAGGATTAGGTGGCGGGTGCAAAGTATCTTGTCCACTTTAACTCCTACCACATCAGTCTTGGGCTTGGTGTCAACTTTGGTGTCCAGTCCAGACTTCAAGGAGAAATCACCAGGCACTTGCTCCATCTTTGCTTTTTTATCAGCTGGAGGACACACAGAAACCGGGAGAACTTCCGCAGGGGTTTGAGATTTCTGCACCAGAGACACGTGATTAGACAAAAAAAAAATGCAAAGCGCCTAAAGTCAGAGAAGTTTATTTTACTTTACCTTTACGGGAGGTGGAGCAAAGTTGGCAGGGCCAGCTGATTTGACACTGACGATGTCAACATTTCCCTTTTTCTACATATTTCATAAAGAAAAAATAGACAGATGGTGATTTGTTAGGTTATCAAAAAGGACCAGACCTGCACTTTCAATTTCATGCGAGAACATTTGTGTATATTCAGGGCGCATTCTGTCCAGTCAAAAATAAGAATGTACTATTGTCAAAAGAAAATATGGGTGGTAAAAGTGCCAAATGCTTGAAGATTCTGACCTCTTGCGTTTTGGGTGCAGCGGGAACAGGTGAAGTCATGAATGCATCTGAAAGCGAATCCAGAGCCTCGCCCGTGCTCATTGGCTTCTAAGATGAGCAACAAAGCACACATTTCATAACAGCCAAATGATTCTCCACCAGAGGGCACGCCTTACCAAGTCAAAGGCAACCAAATGTGCAAAATAATGCAAACCAGACTGTATGTAACAACTATGAAGGAAAAGTACAGACACACCCTTCACATTCCATGGAGCAAAAAAGATACCAAATAATCTTTGATATGACACATAAAAACAACAAAAACTGAGTTTCTTAGTAAAAACCTATCATGAGACACCGAGATAAAGCAGCCTCTTGCATAACATAGCAAAGTGGGAGTATACTATGAGGCAAATATGAGTCTATTAAGGTGGAGTACATGGTAATGTAATGTATTATGTTGCAACGTACAACTTTATGGATATCAAAGTAGATGTATGTGTGTGCTTGTGTGGTTCTGCGCGTTTGCGTTTGGTCCGACAACAGCCAACGAGCTTGACTAGAGAAGGTGGGTGTAGTTCTCTTTGCTGAGACAACACCCATCAGGGTAGTGCAACATTCCCCACTCTAGAGGAAATCAGGAAGCCATTCGGTGGAAACGTGGCCTGAATGTGTGCGTGTAATGTGAGGTCGTGCTCCTTTTTTCATTTCGAAAACGTTTAGTCGGAAAGTTGTGAAGGCTGTGACGCAAACAAAGGTGAGTTACGATGTTGCACTTACAGGGAGGTCTTTAGGCTTAACATCTGCAGGAACTGGAGGCTTAAAAAAAAAAAAAGATTAATTTTAGTTTGGAAGAAAAAAATATCAGATCCTGAAAGTAGTTCAGTTCAGTAGTAGTAGAAAGGAGTCAACAAATACCGCCTTAATGGCCGAGGTCCTACTAATTATCCAAAAAAAAAAAACTATACCAGATTACCTGAGACGCCAACAACAACTCTGACTAAATGAAATAATACAATTATAAAATGTAAAATAGAAATATGATTTGAAATTCATCTGATCAAAGAATGAGAATAAAGCTAGAATATGAAACACACAATTCACACCAGTGACAGTTGTGATATTAAAAGCTCGACATTTTGTGAGCCATCAAAAACAAATTTAGAACTCAGAGGTGATGGGAATTTTTTCTAAAATGGTAAAAATTGACAATTCAAAAGTTCCCCTTGACTTATTTGTATTTCATAGCAACTGCTTCGTACTGAGGACTTAGTCCCAGTATGATAGATATGACAGTGAGGTCTGCCAGTCGATGCATACTGGTTGGCGGCGGCGGTTGGCGAGGCTCGAAGAGACGGGGTGAACTGACCATATTTTCAAACCTGTAGCCTGGGGGCAGCGTGCTGTCTCTTACTCCAAGCTTTGGATCGTCCTTGAAGGTGATGTTACGCTATGATACATGCAACACACAGTTACACACACTCGCACGCGCATGCTGCAGCTCAGCGCAATCACATATCGCCTCAGTTAAATGCAGCCACACATGCGTGCGCATTGCGCTTTACCTCTGTGACCTCCGGCCCCGTGTACACAGGTCGTGTGGGTGCGACATCCTTAGCTGAGGGTAGTATGTCGGCGAGGGCATCGAATGGATCCACCTGCCCATGCAACACAACTCAGCACGCTGGAGCAAGCGACATGCTTTTCAGACAAGAGAAGTCACACTGCTGCAGTGATACTGACCTCTTTGACTCCTTTAGCTGCAGCAGGAGGAACCTCCACCTGAACCTGCGACACGAATACAGGATCAGTACACAGACCATGACGGCTTCAAAACAACCAACAAACTTAAGCATCATGTGCGATTCTGGTATTACTCAAGAAACTGCAAAACCCGACTGCAAATTGATCAAAGTGCCTCTGGCCAAACCTCCCAATCCAACGTATCCATTAACATTCGACAGACAGGAAATACAGCGGATGAAAGTAGCGGACAGCCTCCACCCTTAATGGTTTCAAGATTGTCTACCTTTGTTTGTGTCGGGTTAGCGTCTCTCTTCCCCTCCACAGACACATATCCACCCGCAGCCACGGCAACTGGCTTTGCGCTTTTAGCGGGGTCAACTTTATGCACATCAGCTTTGACTGTAGTGGTGGAAGCGGCACTCTAAAATACAATTTGATTGTGATTTTAGGGAAAGTACATAAAGTCTAGTAAAATGACACGTCGGTTGTACATTAACACATCAGTAATATTTTCAAAGAAACTCCAGCAGAAACAAATTCCCCACCATCTAGATGACAGACATCAGTTTTCTGAGTGAAAAAACTGCAGGAAGACGAACCAACAAACCGTAGACCGCATCTCAGCAAACGTGGTGTTGCAAATGAATAGGTGTGGACCATTTGAAAATACAATAGGAAGCGTGGGAATGCTCAACAATGGATTAAAGAGAACAGCAGTCCTTCATATTTCCCGTAGTGGTCGCCGCCAGAATAGAAAACAAACAAAGCGAACAATGTCCAAAGCAAGAATCTGAGTTTTCTCAAGTGAGGAAAGTTAAAAGAAGACTCTTTGACACAAAAGAAGCAGTTGCAGAAAGAAGCTGTTGAAAAGTACACCTTGAGGGAGTCATCATACAGAGTCTGAGAAGCCTGCAGCAGGTGAGTCTACCTTGGCCGGGCCTTTGGGGGACTCTTTCGGTCTGGTCACAGCAGTGACAGCTACTCCGGCAGCAGGAGGAGGAGGAACTGGGGCTGAGGCTTTGACTTGGTAGACCGCAGGAGTCTGCAAACATGCAGCCAAATAATCACTCAGAAAGAAATGGATGAGAGACCCACAGCCGTTCCAAAGCCAGCAGACATATCGACAACGTGGACGATATCCTAACAGTGTTTGTGAAAACGGAGCAGGAGAACAAAGATCCGTGGTGAGCTCTGCAACTTTACACCAACGTGTAACCTGTTGAAAAAAATAAGTATGCTGACCTTTTTCTAAACTGTTTAGTCTCCCGTTTTTTGTCTCCCAGGCAGAAATAAAAACAATATTTATACATGTTAGATTCATCTGCTTAGCAATGTAGTCACCAGCTATGTAACTAATTAAATCTAAAAAAGATAACAAAGTTAATTGAAAAGACGATTTTTGTAAGAATAAGCAATATTATAAGCAAAGGTGTCGTGGAAAAGGCCACATGAATGTCGAGAGGCTGCTCTTAAGCAGCTGACAGACACACTTTATTTATGTTGGAGTTTCCCCACGAGCACATGGCTCCACCAACAAGAGGTCAAGTCACACGACATTACAACCTGACAGGCTCACGTCCTCAATGAAAAACTGGGCTCATCAAAGACTCAAGTGCCTGCATGCCGCTGGTTGGTAGAACATCCGTAACAAGGTCAAATCAGCAGTAATGTGAATAAAAAATAAAAGCGCGGCACTTGCGTCACGAGAACACCATTACCTTTGACTCTTTGAGACCGCCCCTCGCCCCAGCTGATGTCATGTCAACAACGGTAGCCCCAGCTGACGACATGTCCATAACAGTAGCACCCGCCAGCGTAGTGTTAGTCTACGAACAAGGAGCATGTGTTAAAAGTCTGGAGAAGGATCTGCAGCTCCACAGTCTGCGACGAGCATTCAGCGGGATGACGATGAAGTTCATTAGTGGCATTCGCCGAGCGTTGAAAAGTCCTCCGAAAAGGTCAAGATGTTTGGGTGGCTGAGCCAGAGAGACACCGCACATGGAGGAGGACAAAAAGAAGATGAAGCCAGTGAAGAAGAAGAAGAAGAAGAAGAGAGGCGAACTGCGGCGCCACGAGCACACGCTCAGCGTGTGGTTCATGTTACATCACACAGAAAGGCCAAAGTGGGGGAGGGAGGGTTCTGCAGATAGGAAAGGAAAGAAATGTAAGTTGTTTTGACCCTTTTGTCTTTCAGTAACAAGCAAGTGTGAACGTGCAAGTCAGTGGGAACGTGTCTTGTTGTGTAACATGACATCTGCTCGGCATTCCACACGTTACATTGAACCACTGGATAATGAGCTATGGGGTCAGCTGCTAACAATAGTCTTAAAGCTAAAGGTTCAGGACTCAGTCTATAATAAACCTCCTTAGTTTAAAACATGCCAATATCTCACATTAGAGTATTTTTTTAAAAACTGGTGCAGGCTCTTCCTGCACGCAGCCACCAAAGCCAGCAGCAAAGCCCAGTTGGTGAGGGCAGGGTTGTCAAAACATGGCCAAACCTGGCCTTGAGAATGTGTCAGGAGAATACGGGCAGATAAGCAACGGACCTAGAGAACGCCTTGTTTTACATCCACAGTGACATTAAGTAAATGGTTTTAAGACACTAACTAGTCATTTCGAGACCTTCAATGCTTTCACTTAGCAGATAAATACGCTTTTAGTTGGGTCCTGATCACTGTTGTTCCTGTAAACTGTCCTGGGCAGATAAAGTACAGCTTTTATACTTAATACGGTTCTAGCAGCGGACAAAACAAGGATTAAATCTCTATAAGCATCGTGTGGAACCTCCATTAAAGAGTTAAACCCCTTCCCACCGAAAGTGTAACCTGTCTTTTGCATGAAAGGAAGGAAAACGGACACAACTAAAGCCATTATCAGATTCCTCTTGAAACCAGTAGAAACAGGACGCTGGGGCAGGAATGGACGGAGCACTCACAGTGTCCCAACAAGGAGCAGGTCAGACAACAACCGTGGAAGTAGAGAAATGTGTTTTTTTCAGAGAGGCGGAGCCAGAAGAAGTTAAAGGGCATCAAAGTGGAAGAATGTTTGATACCTCGAACAGTGCAGGTTTCACAGCGGAGGCCTGAGCTGCCGGTTTGGGTGTGGCCCGGCTAGGCTGCGACTAGAGGGAAAAGAGACAAACACAGACAGAGAGGGAGGTTATGCATGTGCAGTGAAAATCCAAAACCACAAAAATCACACAGATTCTCCCGGGAGCCACACTTTCACGCTTTTCATATCAATGCCGGATTCTTGAAAGGGCCGAGAGGAACAGGAAAAGATCCAGCACACATCGGAGGTGACCGGTTCAAGCACCACATTCCAGACCGAAGGGTGCGTCAGCTGCGTCACCTCAGCAACGGGGAAGAGCGGAAAGAAATGTCGGGTTCACGAGTTGCTCTTCGGCAGAGCTTTGTGAAATGAAAGCATAGATAACTCACATACGTTGTCAAAGACCGGGACGGCATACAGACGCACGCAGATGGCAGATATGTCTGCGCGCTGCAAATAAACCTCCTCGCATGGCCACTATGAAATGGTGTCACTGATGCAGAGATGTTACATTTCCTCTTGATAACGTTTGAGCTCTTTTCTGTTCAGTTATAAAGGTTATCATGCTGAAGATCATCCAGCTGCAGCCATAAGCAGTATTTAAATATAACGATTGTCAGTAGAGCTATAATTAAGTCCTATAATAAAAACGTACTTTTCCTAGTGTAACATGTTAGCCATCATCTTTTCACACAAGTTTAAAGACTTTCTTCAAATGTAGAGTACAGCTTACAAATAAAGATTGTATTCATATATTCTACTATTTCCAACTGTAAACTGGAATAAATTTTCCTGTTTGACAAAGGCAATAACGTTTATTCAAACATTATACGTAATGAGGTTCACAATGGCCGTGATAAAAACATCTCTAGCAGGCTATAGTTTACATTTGGGGTAATCTCTCCTCAGACTTTGAACCCAATTAGAGACAAGTGGAAACAAATTAAGTTTACATATCTTGTCATATCCTAGTCACTCTATAATATCAAGTAAAGCATTAACTGTGGTAACAAACTTATATTGACAGCAGTCAATTGTTTAATTAGCATGTATGTACTGAACTGAAGCGGATAAAACAATACAAATCAAACTCATCCTGGGACCACAACCTCTATAAGAAGCAGAAGTATTACATTACACATACAGGATATTGTTCTCTGCATTTGACCCGTCCCACACAGTGGCAGCAGCGTGCTGCCGTAAAGGCGCCCGGGGAGCACTTCGGGGGTTGGGTGTCTTGCTCGGGGACACTTCCACTTGGGACATGGAGCAGCCGCGGGTTCGAACCGCCAACCCCTGCGGTTCTCGGTGCACCCGCTCTCCTCCATCCACCACAGTCGCCCCATGATGAATTATGATGCTCTTTTCTTAGTCATTCCACAAGCAGTGGGAATAATGAAGTCAATCCTAAACATAGTACCGTGTTTTCTGCTCAGACGGATAACTGAAGGAGATTGGGTTTAGTGAGTTTATGAAAGCGGCCGTGCACGTAGTTGTGTATTTTGGAGACATGCTCGGTCTCCAGGTGGAGGCCAGTATGCATCGGGGAGGGGCCAGACCAGTTATTTAAGGTGTGAGTCCGCAAAGCCTCCACTCCATTGACAACAGTTTAGAATTACTGCAGTTAGTTTCCCATTCAACCCAATTCATTGTGTAGTGTTGTATAATGGTGAAGCCAACCAAGCCAGTTAGAGGGTTACTCAGCTTTTTGGTGTGTTCATGCAAATTAACAAATTAACATTACTGCACTGTAAAATACCCTGGAACTTAACTTATTTTACGAGATACCTAATTACGAATGGTTGCTCATTTTGAATGTATTATTTACAGAATTCTTAAAAAAGGTGCTCTAGCGTCCTATGACCAATTATCATTAGCACGAGTCTGTGAACGCACCAGTAAGCCTGAGTGAGTTAACCTGTCAGGCCAGCTCTGCATCTCGTTTGACTGCACTGAGCTGATGAGCTGATGATAGACAAAGCCAGGTTGCATACGTGTGAATGAGGAGGTAATCGGAAGCAAAGATAAACCTCAGGCAGAAAGACACAGGGAGTGCATTGTGACTCACACCATCTGCAATCTCAGATTTTGAAATGTTGATGCAGCTCAGTCAGCGATTGCCTCACAAGCCGCTGGAATACATGTGCAAAAAATAGCATTGCAACCCAGCTCAGTGTAAAGAGAGAGTGAACACAATGTTGTTTAGAGAGAGAATAAAGGGGAAGTTTCACAAAGGGGGAAGTGAGGTCACAAGCAGCCAAGGCACCCCTTATCCTGATGTCACGTTACTCCTGTTACTGCAGGAAATGTTAATTGCTGCCCGGGTTACCCACCAAAGGAACTTTAACTGAAAAAAAGGAAGCAGTCGAGCCGCATGCAGGGTGGTAATGCATGATGCATTACAAAAAGTTTAATTTATCGTTTAAAACTTTTGGGATTATTACGTTTGAAAGACTCTTTGGAACACTATGATCACAACAGTTCTGCGTAACGCTCCAATTGTAACACCGCAGGTAACTCACCTGAATGCCGGCATTAATACATGGAATCTTAGGTAGAAGCCCGCAACACTTGGACTTGAACAGATTTTAAAAATCCAGCTCAGTGCTGAAAACTCTTTTCCAAGGAAAGTAGCCAGCAGCAGTAGCTCCAAAATTACCTACACTTAGTATGAAAGTCACAGTCAGAAACACTGAGTTCCGTCCCTCAAGCCATAACTCCAGAGACATAAAGATGTCATGACGGCATAAAGAGCGGAACTAACGGATAATAGTGAGGGTGTCCAGCTGCAACTTCGAAGACACACTGAAAAAGCCATTTCCTTTGATTAAAGGGATTGTGGTCACTGCCTTATTGTCTAAAACATGATGTCTGAGCAGAAATAAACCCGTCTCGTTCTGACATCCAAACCATCGCTAAAGTCACCCAGCAGCTCTGCCTTCCCCGTGTTTGACAGGATGCACGCTTAGTTCATTTAGAATCCATACAGAGTTCTAACAATGCAGTGTATAAGTCACAGTAGAGGACACTTACGCATTATGTTTACAAGACAATTCCTGTTGTCAGTATTGGATTATGGTAGAAATGATTAATAACGTATCAACACGCCAAAGGGGGAAGCAGTTTGTTCTCTTCTCTGGAATAAAATAAAACTTCTTGCTGGCTATTTGGCACAATAAAATTAACATGTGTGGGTTGGTGACACGCAAGCCAAAACATTACACTGCGGGCGTTTTATTTAAGTATTTCCCACCTTCACTCGTCGATGAGTTGCAGGTGTAAGTCTGAAGTTAATCTCTCGTAACTCCTCTGACAACCACCCAAACGCTTAGCGAGCTCGTCTGCAGTGCCTCCAAACAGCAGCATTCTAACATTCCTCACGCAGGCCTCATAACAGACTGTACGTCCACCGACACAACACATCACCTACAGCTCAAGCCGCTTTTAGCACATGCCTCACACATCGTTGTATTGCTGCTCTGTAACATTATGTTTTGCAGTTTGGATTTTCCAGAAAAGCTGAAACACTTCAGCAGAGCCTTCTACCTTTATTCAAGGGGAATAAGTATATATATTCTTGGCTGCACAGTAAAATTTGAATTCCATATACTTTCAACAACAGGAAAAAATTCATATTATAGACAGAATAATAAGTGACACATTTAAGTTTGTACCAGGTAAGTAACAAGCTATGAAAAACAGCGGCTACGTCGTGCTGTAAAAACGTCATGCTAGCTGCCGCGTTGGGGAAGTATCCAGTATCCATGCAGGGAAATGCGGGATTTGGGCTCTTGCATACAGGATTAATGCAGGACCAAACAGCAAAGATGAGGCCATACATGGGGTGGACAAAGTAACAGGAACACCTAACAATCCTGAAGCATTTTAATTGAATTCAACCGTGCAGATGTTGCAGACCTGTTCATGTTATTCTGTCCAGCCCTGTACACAAACAAAATAAAGGGTAAACGCTTCACACAGCTGTACCTGCTGGTCATTTTGTCGAGGTAAGGGAAGGGGCCGATAGTTGCCATGTATCTGTTTCATAAGGGACAAGTAAACTGCTGTTAAATAGTAGAACTGACTAGAAATAGAAAGAATAATCAGCGTTTTACGTAGACTCAAACACTGAATACATTCAAACCAAGATGCACAGAGAGCTCCGTGTATATTCTCAATCGATGCCATTACGATTAAGTCATCAGGTCAGCTCATACAGACCTAATATGAAGCAGCGAGGGGTCATTTGTTTTCAACTGCGACAAGCAACAGCAAACTGTTAGTGTGACATGACACCGATATAAACGTCGTGGTCATTCCCGGAGAGATGAGGCGAGTGCGATCAAAATAGACTGACGATTTCAGAGCGTGGGTAAAGGCATCCGAGTGCCACGTGAAACCACCGCTCACTTCAAACTGGCAATCATTCAGACGGAAACGGCCGCTGCGCTCAAAGGGTCGATCTGCGAGTCCTTGTGTGCTTTCAGATGGACGGGTATCAACCTCAGTCCAGCCTGGATCTGCGCCCTGCATGACGCACGTAACCCACCACTTTTTTTGTTTCGTCAGAGCTAACGGAACAATGCCGCGTATCCAGGCAACAGCCTTTAAAAGCTGTGGCTTGTCTGCCGGTATTGAAAAATGATGACTAATGCTGTGCCCCACCCATGTGAATACAGCTGGAAGCTCCTTAGTCTTTGCTACTACTTTGGTGGATGCCGTCATTTCAGAGGTGGAAATGTCAAGTCAGTGTATTGGGAATGTGGCGTAGACTTGTAAATGTACAGATGAAGCCAAACGCTTTCAGTGCAGACCTACATGAGGGTTTGACATTATTGCCGTCGGCTAAACTCAGGTGGCATTAGTCAAACCTACTTTCCCAGCCTACCTGAGATAACAATGTACTGTTAATACGATACAGTCCCATAAAACTCCCCCGAGAGCAAAAACACTTACAGCTGTGTGCTTGTTTCCGATAATCGTTGGTCAACTCCACTTTGGTAGATTCTGAGCAGGGTGAATATATGTTACTACTCTCTGGTTTGGATTTATCAGCCTTTTATTTTAATC